TGGTTTGGGACGTCAGTGGGGTGGGTTTGGTACAATTTAGGGGGTGGGGGTTCCCGTCAGTGGGGTGGGTTTTGGGGGGTACAGTTTTGAGGGGTTTTTTTGGTACAGTCAGTGGGGGTGGTGGGAAGTCAGTGGGGTGGGGGTTCCCGTCAGTGGGGGGGGTGGTAAGTCAGAGGGGTGGGTGGTTTCAGTCCAAAGGGGGGTTTTGGGGGTTAAATCAGGGGGGGGTGGTTCAGTCGGGGGTGGTGGTACAGTAGGGGGGGGGTTGGTGGTACCCGTTTAAAAGGGGGTGGTGGGCCCCCCTTTCGTCGGGGGTGGTGGTACAGGCAGGGGGTGGTGGTACAGCCCGTGGGGGGGTGGTACAGGGCAGGGGGGAATGGTGGTACAGTCAGGGGGGTGGTGGTTTCTGTCGGGGGGTGGTGGGACAGTAAGGGGGGTTTGGGGGTTTCAGTCAGGGGGGTGGTGGTTTCAGTCAGTGGGCGTTTGGGGGTACTGGGCCGTGGCGGGTGGGGGTGGTTGGTTTCAAGTTTAGTTTGGGGTTGGGGTTTGGGACAAATTTAGGGGGGGGTGGGTACAGCCGAGGGGTGGTGGTTTCAGTCAGGGGGTTTGGGTGGGACATTTTGGGGGTGGGGGTTTTGTTTAGTGGGGCGGTGGTACAGTCCCGGGGGGTGGTGGGGGACAGTCAGAAAGGGGTGGTGGTTCAGTCAATGGGGTTGGGGGGGTACTTAAGGGGGGGGTAATTGGGGGGGTTTAAGTCAGGGGGGTGGTGGTAAGTCAGTGGGGGGGGGTTACAGGCAGAGGGGTGGGGTTTGGGAACCCGTCAGAGGGGTGGTGGGACAGTCAGTGGGTGGGGGGTAACAGAGGGGTGGTGGTCCCGTAAAAGGGGGGGGGTGGTTTCAGTCAGTGGGGTGGGGGTACGTCAGAGGGGTGGTGGTAAGCAGGGGGTGGTGGTACTTTTCAAGGGGGGGGTGGTGGTTTCGGGCAGGGGGTGGTGGTTGGGAAAGGGGCCTTGGGGGTGGGTTGGTGGTAAAAGTAAGAGGGGGGGGGTGGTACAGTCAGGGGGGCCGGGGGGGTGGTACAGTCCCGGGGGTGGTGGTAAGTCAGGGGGTGGGTGGTACCCGTCAGGGGGGTTTGGGGGTACAGTCGGGGGGTGGGGGGGTACGTCAGAGGGGTTTGGGGGTTTCAGTTTAGAAGGGGGGGGGTGGTACCGTCAGAGGGGTGGTGGTACATTCCCCTCATGGGGTTTGGGGGTCAGGGCGGGGGGGGTGGTGGGTACAGTCAGAAAGGGGGGTGGTACGTCCCGAGGGGTGGTGGTAATTTAAGGGTGGGGGTTGGGGGGTAAAGTCAGAGGGGTGGGCCCCGGGGTGGTTCCCGTCGTGGGGGGGTGGGGGGGTACAGTCCAGGGGGGGGTGGTTTTTTTCAGTCAGAGGGGTGGTGGTTCAGTCCCGGGGGGGGGTGGTGGAAAAGTTGGGGGGGTGGTGGTCAGTCAAAAGGGGGTGGTGGGTTTTCCCGTCAGTGGGGTTGGGGGGTACAGCAGGGGGTGGTGGTTTTTAGTCAGAGGGGTGGTGGTTTTCAGTTTAGAGGGGTGGGGGTACCTTTCAGAGGGGTGGGGGTACAGGGCAGGGGGTTTGGGTGGTAGTCAGAGGGGGGTGGGTACGGGCGGGGGGTGGTGGGGAAAAGTCAGGGGGTTGGGGGGGTTTCCGTCAGGGGGGTGGTGGTACGTCAGGGGGTGGGGGGTACCCGTCAGGGGGGGGGCCCGGGACAGTCAGGGGGGGGTGGTTTGGGCTTCAGGGGGGTTTTGGGGGTTAAGTCAGGGGGTGGTGGTTTCAGTCAGAGGGGTGGTGGTAAAAGTCAGAGGGGTTGGGGGTTTCGTCGAGGGGCGGGGTGGTTTCAGTTTAGAGGGGTGGTGGGTTTGGGACGTCGGGGGGGGGACGTTAATTTGGGTTCTGGTACATCGTGGGGTGGTGGTACTCAGGAGGGGGTGGTGGTTCAGTCAGGGGGGTGGTGGTTTTCAGTCAGAGGGGGTTGGGGGTACAGTAGAGGGGGGGGGGGTTCAGTCAAAGGGGGGTGGGGACAGGCAGTGGGGGGGGTGGAAGTCTGGGGTGGTGGTACAGTCAAAGTGGGGGGGTGGTAAAGTCGAGGGGGGGTGGTTTTCGCAGGAGGGGTTTGGGGGTACAGTCAGAGGGGGGGGGACGAGGGGGGGTTGGTTAAATTGAGGGGTGGTGGTACAGGGCAGGAGGGTTTTGGTACAGTCAGAGGGGGGGGGGGGTGGTACAGTAAGGGGGGTGGGTTTGGTTTCAGTCAGAGGGGTGGTGGTACAGTCAGGGGGCGTGGTGGTTTCAACTCAGGGGGTGGTTGGGTCAGTCCCGGGGGTGGTGGTACAGGTCAGAGGGGTTTTGGTTTCAGTCAGTGGGGGTGTTGGTTCAGGGCAGGGGGGGTGGTGGGACAGTCAGAGGGGTGGTGGAACAGTCAGGGGGTGGGGGTACAGGTCAGAGGGGTG